GCATACTTCAGAGATATCGTGGGTTCACTTCTACACTACCACAATAAAGCATGTCACACAACTTTGTTTTCCAGTGCATATAAAAGTTATGTTGGCTAGGCGCGGTGGCTTATGCCTGTAATCCCAGCACTTTGGGAGGCCGAGGTGGGCAAATCATTTGAGGTAATGGGTTTGAGACTGGCCTGGCCAACATAGTGAAACCCCGTCTCTACTAAAAATTCAAAAAAATTAGCTGGGCACGGTGGCAGGTGCCTATAATCCCAGCTACTGGGAGGTTGAGGCAGGAGAATTGCTTGAAATCTGGAGGTGGAGGTTGCAGTAAGCCAAGATTGCATCACTGCGCTCTAGCCTGGGCAACTGAGTTAGACTCTGTCTCAAAAAAAAAAAAAAAGTTAATACTATACTATAGTCTATTACGTATACAATAGCATGTCTAAAAAATGTATATACCAGGCAGGGCGTGGTGGCTCACACCTGTAATCCCAGTAATTTGGGAGGCTGAGGCAGGCAAATCAGAAGGTCAAGATTGAGACCATCCTGGCCAACATGGTGAAACCCTGTCTCTACCAAAAATACAAAAATTAGCCGGGTATGGTGGCAGGTACGTGTAGTCCTGGCTACTTGGGAAGCTGAGGCAGGAGAATCACTTTAACTTGGGAGGTGGAGGTTGCAGTGAGCTGAGATGGTGCCATTGCACTCCAGCCTGGGGAAAGAGCAAGACTCCATCTCAAAAAAAAAAAAAGTACATACCATAATTTAAAAATAATGCTAAAAAATGCTAACAATAGTCTGAACCTTTAGTGAGTCATACATAATCTTTGTTGGTAGGCGATCTCCCTCAATATTGACGGCTGCTGACTGATCAAAGGGGGATTGCATAAAGTTGGGGTGGCTGTTGCAGTTTCTTAAAATAACAAGAGCCACACTGATTGACTTTTCCTTTCACAAAAAGTTTCTCTGTAGCATGTGATGTTGTTTGATAGAACTCTAACCACAGAACTTCTTTCAAAATTGTAGTCACTCCTCTCAAATCCTACCACTGCTTTATCAATTACATTTGTGGAATATTCTGAATCACTGATTTCCAGTGTCCTTCAAAGGAGTCGATTTTAAATAAATGACTTTCTTTGTTCACCCATAAGAAGTAATCCTTATCCATGAAAGTTTAATGAGACTGCAGCAATTCAGTCACATCTTCAGGCTCTACTTCTAATTTACTTCTCTTACTAGTTGCACATTTACAATTACTTCCTCCACTGAAGCCTTGAATCCTTCAAAGTCATTCATGAGGGTGGAGTCAACCTTTCAAATTCCTGTTATTCTGATCTCATGAGTCATATGAATATTCATAATAGCACTTAGATTCATGAATCCTTTCTGGACAGTTTTTAATTTACTTTACCCAGATCTATCATAGGAATCATTACCTATGGAAGCTACTGCATTACAAAATGTATTTTTTTTTCTTGAGATGGAGTCTCACTCTGTAGTACAGTGGTGCTATTTTGGCTCACTGTAACCTCCGCCTCCCGGTTCTTGGTTCAAGCAATTCTCCTGCCTCAGCCTCCTGAGTAGCTGGGATTACAGGCATGTACCACCATGCCCAGCTAATTTTTCTATTTTTAGTAGAGATGGAGTTTCATCATGTTGGCCAGGCTGGTCTCGAACTCCTGACTTCATGCTCCACCTACCTCGGCCTCCTTAAGTGCTGGGATTATAGGCGTGAGCCACAGTGCCCGGCCAGTATTTCTTAAATAATAATACTCAAAAGTCAAATTATTGGTTGATCCATGAGCTGCAGAACTGTATTAGCAGGCATGAAAACCAACACTGATCTCCTTATACATCTCCATTACAGCTCTTGGGTGACCAAGTGCACTGTCAGTGAGCAATAATATTTCGAAAGGAACTTTTTTTTTTCCCCAGAGCTGTAGATACCAACAACAGTGGGCTTAAAATATTTAGCAAATCAATACTGTAAACAGATGTGCTATCATCCAGGCATTACTTCATTTATAGAGCACAAGCAGGGTATAGTTAGCATAATTCTTAAGGGCCCTAGGATTTTCATAATGGTGAATGAATACTGGCTCCAACTTAAAGTTACCACCTGCATTAACCCTTAACAGGAGGGTCAGTTAAACCTTTGAACCTTTGAAGCAACCACTGACTTCACCTCTCTAGCTGTGAAAGTCCTAGATGGCCTCTTCTTTCAATAGAAGACTTTCATCTACATTGAAACACTATTGTTTAGTTAGCCACCTTCATCAATAATCTTAGCTAGATCTTCTGGATAATATACTGCAACTTCCATCGACTCTTACTGCTTTACCTTGCATTTTTATGTTACGGAGATAGCTTCTTAAACCATATAAACTAACCTTTGCTAGCTTCAAACTTTTCTTCTGCAGCTTCCTCACCCTTAAGTCTTCATAGAATTGACGATAATTATGGCCTTGTCCTGTATTATGCTTTGGCTTAAGGGAATGCTGTGGCTGGTTTGATCTTCTACCCAGACAACTAAAACTTTCTCCGTGCCAGCAATAAGGCTGTGTTGCTTTCTTATCATCTTATTCTTTGTGTGTATATTGTAGTAGCACTTTTTTCTTTTTTCGAGATAGGGTCTTACTCTGTCACCAAGGCTGGAATGCAGTGGTGTGATCCTGGCTCACTGCAACCTCCATCTCCCAGACTCAAGCAATCCTTTCACTTCAGCTTCCCAGGTAGCTACAAGTAGCTGGGACTACAGGCATGCAACACCACACCTGGCTTTTTTTTTTTTTTTTTTTGAGACAGAGTTGTGCTTTTGTTCCTTAGGCTGAAGTGTAACAGCGCCATCTCGGCTCATCGCAACCTCTGCCTGCTGGGTTGAAGCGATTCTCCTGCCTTAGCCTCTCGAGTAGGCGGGATTACAGGTGCCTGCCACCATGCTAGGCTAATTGTATTTTTAGTAGAGATGGGGTTTCACCATGTTGGCCAGGCTGGTCTTGAACTCCTGATCTCATGATACACCCGCCTCAGCCTCCCAAAGTGCTGGGATTACAGGTGTGACCCACTGTGCCTGGCCCGCCTGGCTAATTTTTGTATTTTTGGCAGAGATGAGACTTAACCATGTTGCCCAGTCTGGTCTTGAACTCTTGGGCTCAAGTGTTCTGTGGCCTCAGCCTCCCAAAGTGCTGGGATTACAGGTGTGGGCCACTGCACCTGGCCAGCACTTTTAATTTACTTCAAGAACTTTTCCTTTGCATTCACTACTTGGCAAACAAAAAAGGCTTTGCTTTTGGTCTATCTTGGCTTTTAACATGCCTTTTTCACTAAGCTTAATCATTTCTAGCTTTTAATTTCAAGGGAGCGATGTGTGACTCTTCCTTTTACTTGAAGACTTAGAGGTCACTGTAGGGTTATTAATTGTCCTAATTACAATACTGTTGTTTTTGAGGGAAGAGAGAGACACAGAAAAGGGGAGAGAGATGGGAATGGCTGGTCAGTAGACCCAGAAAAAGGGAGAGACATGGGAATGGCTGGTCAGTAGATGAAATTTGTGGCACCCCAAAACAATTACAATAGTAACATCTAAGATGACTGGTCACAGATCCTGATAACAGATAATAATAACAATGAAAAGGTTTGAAATGTTGCAAAAATTACCAAAATGTGACATAGACACACAAAGTGAGCACATGCTGTTAGAAAAATAGTGCTAATGGACTTGTTTGATGTGGGGCTGCCACAAGCCTTTAATTTATAAAAAATACATCTGCCAAGCACAGTTAAGCAAAGCACAATAAAATTAGATATGCCTGTATAAATATATGAGGAAGAATTAATGAGAAAACAGAAAGGGATAAAAGTTTACTAGCAGAACCAAGGAAATAATTGGAAGACAAAAAGAAAACCACTATTGAAATGCAGAATACTATGCAAGCGGGGAAATAGGACTTTCACCATTAGAATTATGGTACCGCAGTGTGACAATGCAAAACAACATATAGGTAAGACAGACATTCTGATGCATCACTGGGTCTATAGGATATAGACCTCCAAGAACACCTCTCCACCCACCTATCCCACACAAGAAATAAAACAAAAGCAAGCAACCATTAGCTAAAATCAGAGAACACTACGAACAATTTCATACCAAAATATTTGAAAATACAGATGAAACAAATTGTTAAATATAACATATGACCCTGTATTTTTACAGATACAGAGGAAATTTTAATATTTATAGAAATTGCTTTGTCAAGTCTGTGAAAATTAATTTGAAGACTAGAATTAATTAGATAATTTCATGGAAAAATACAACTTATTATCAAAAACTAATGCAAAAGACAAAAATATATTTACATATATACAGGATAGTTATAAAAGGAAAAATGAAAAGAGCTGTCAAGGAAACTTCCCTCAAAAATATACAAGGTCCAAACAGTTGAACAGGTAACATCTACCAAATTTTCAAGAGAGTTATAACACCAATGCTATATAAATGTTCTAGAGCAGAAAGGAAAGCTTCCAAATTCTATTTATAAAACCAGTCTAACATTGACATTAAAAACTTAAAGTATAAACAAATTATTTAAATTCACAGCAAACATAAGAGGATGAGTAATTACTGAGAAGTATCTAAACATAAATGACCCATATATATTTTAAAAACTGTGATAATCTGCTATAGGAAAGATTGTTTTAACTCCATGAATATTTTAAAAGTCAAAGTGGCCAAAAAGTACTTCAATGAGGAATAATCTTTTTGGGAAAAAAACACAAGAAAAACATGACAGATGATGTGCCAATCAGCTCAGTATGTTAAGAGTTCATACAAATTAAGAACTCAACAGAAACAAAGGCAAAGGATACCAACTATTTATTAAAGAAATATAGATGAGAAACATGAAAAAATGCTTTCATTCATAAGGGAAATATAAATTCAAACTATAATTAGCTACCATTTTTCACGTATCAGATTGGCAATAATTTTTGTTATTGTTGTTGTTTTTAAGGTGGAGTGTCTCTCTGTCACCAGGCTGGAGTGCAGTGGTGCGATCTCAGCTCACTGCAACCTCCACCTCCTGGATTCAAGCAATTCTCCTGCCTCAGCCTTCTGAGTAGCTGGGACTACAGGTGTGTACCGCCAGGCTCAGCTAATTTTTGTATTTTTAGTAGAGATGGGGTTTCACTATGTTGGCCAGAATCGTCTCAATAGCTTGACCTGGTAATCTGGCCACCTTGGCCTCCCAAAGTGCTGGGATTACAGGCATGAGTCACTGTGCCCAGACACGATTTTTTCTAAATGTGAACAGACTACATTGGCAGAAGTTACTGGTAGAAATTATTAAGGTCTCTTTAGAGGGCAAAAATGTCTTTATAAAATTTGAAATACGTATATATGCACACATCATGTATACTTGTATATATACATGAAAAATATATCAGAAAATGGGAGCTACCAAAAAATCAGCATTGACTTAAAACTTTTATTAAAATAAAAGGGTGGTAGTGTGATTACTGAAGTATGAGAGCAAAACCTAAAAATAAAAATACAGAGGGAAGTATGACTATCGGTACAAAATAAAATATTTCAGACATTTAAAATGGAAGGAAGAAGAAAAAGTAAAGGACTATAAATGTCAGTAGGTTTATTTTAACAACTACAAATTAATGTACACAAAAAGAAAAGATCCTGTATATGAAGGTGACAGTACTCCCAAAGATGCTAATAACAGAAGGATTACCAAAGGAAGGCTGGAAAGCTATTAGGAAAGGTTGGATCTAGCACTCAGGTAGGAAAGCCAACCACATCTCTAAGTTATGAGCAAAGAAATTAAGAACAGTATCTAGAAATGACATCTTAGGTTTATAAAGAGTTCACACCATTGGTCACTACAAAACATGAGGCTGGGCATGGTGGCTCATGCCTGAAATCCCAGCACTTTGGGAGGCTAAGGTGGGCAGATCACTTGAGGCCAGGAATAGCCTAACCAACATGGTGAAACCACATCTCTACTAAAAATATCAAAAAATTAGCTGGGTGTGGTGGCACATGCCTGTAGTCCCAGCTACTTGGGAGGCTGAGGTACAAGAATCATTTGAACCTAGGAGCTGGAAGAAGCTGCAGTGAGCCAAGATCGCACCACTGCTCTCCAGCCTGGGAGACAGAGTGAGACTCTGTCTCAAAAAAAAAAAAGCTACATGCTTTCTGAATTTTTTTTTTTTTAGACAGGATCTCACTCCATTGACCAGGCTAGATAGAGTGCAGTGCTGTGATCATGGCTTACCGCAGCCTTGACCTCCCAGGCTCAAGTGATTCTCCCACCTCAGCCTCCCAAGCAGGTGGGATTACAAGTGTGTGTGCCACCACACCTGGCTGTTTTTTTGTTTTGTTTTTTGAGACAGAGTCTTGCTCTGTCGCCCAGGCTGGAGTGCAGTGGCACGATCTCGGCTTACTGCATCCTCTGCCTCATAGGTTCAAGCAATTCTCTTGCCTCAGCCTCTTGAGAAGCTGGGGCTACAGGCGTGTGCTATGACATCTGACTAATTTTTGCTTATTTAGTAGAGACGGGGTTTCACCATGTTGAGCAGGATGCTCTTGATCTCCTGACCTCATGATCTGCCCACCTCGGCCTCCCAAAGTACTGGGATTAAAGGCATGCGCCACTGTGCCCGGCCTAATTATTATTTTTTAAAATAGAGATGAGGTCTCACTATGTTGTCCAGGCTGGTCTCAAACCCCTGGACTCTAGCAATCTTTCTGCCTTGGCTTCCTAAAGTGCTAAAACTACAGATATGAACCACTGTGCCCAGCTCTGAAAATATCTTTGAATAATAATTTAGAGAGATCAACCATTCACTGATTAATCATTAATAGGGCCCTGACTCCTCCTCATCTGTCTGGTTCCCTTCCACTAACCTTGCCAGTGTCTCCTTAATACTTCTTCCTCCATCACCCATGGTTCTTCTTCTTGCTCCAATTTGAAAATCACATCAGGTTTGGTGAATGGATAGCCTGTCAAAGGGAAGTTACATAGATCTGCGCATACATACTAGGAACAAAGAACCACCCAAAAATTCAGGCTTCCCAGGAAAACCAGGCTTTCTAGAGGACAAGAAATGGTGGCTTCTGGGGATGCTGTCCCCTTTTGCTCTGAAAACTGCAGCATGGACATTCACATGAGCATCCCAAGGCCAAGCTCCCTCTAATATTTAAAAGGTATACATATTTCAGAAACATGGCGGGTGGGGCGGGGGGAAGGTACTTTCTGGAGTTTGAATTATAGTAAATTACTCTTACCCACTGTGATTAAGTTGTTATAGTTTTCTAGCATCACGTTCCGGTACAGGTTTCTCTGAGCAGGATCCAATCGCTTCCACTCCTCCTGGGTGAAGTCAATAGCCACATCTTTGAATGTCACTGTTCCCTGTAACAACACACTCCTACTCAATCTGAAGTCATCTATCTTGGGTGATTGTAAACAAAACATATTGAACCTTGTTCTGATATTAAAACCCCAGCACACTAGCAGCATCCTGTCAGTTTATATTCATTCACTAATTTAGCAAGCATTTTTTTTTTTTTTTTTTGAGACAAAGTCATGCTCTGTCACCCAAGGTGGAGTGCAGTCGCATGATCTCAGCTCACTGCAACTTCTGCCTCCCAGGTATAAGCGATTCTCCTGCCTCAGCCTCCCAAGTAGCTGGGAAAACAGGCACGTGACACCAAACCCAGCTAATTTTTGTGTTTTTAGTAGAGACAGGGTTTCACCATGTTAACTAGGCTTGTCTCAAACTCCTGACCTCATGGTCCACCTCAGCCTTCCAAAGTGCAGGGATTACAAGCGTGAACTACTGCGCCTGGCCTAAGCACATGTCTTTATTACCTACTGTGAGTTGTTAAAGGGGTTCCGGTACAGGTTTCTCTGATCAGGATCCAATCGTTTAGGTACCAATTTAAACTGAGTGTGAAGGAAATAGAAAAATAAAACTTTAACCAAGTTAAGTGGTTTGAGATCTCACAAGATACCAGAGGCAGGAAAAAAGGAAAGCAGGATTTAGATAGAAGCAGGAGACAGAATGACAGGTGAAATCTGTGGTATGGTGGGACATGCAACTGGAGTTATATCCACTGATTCAGCAGTTGTTCATGAGATCAGGAGAAATCTACATTGAAAATGAAGATTTATTGGCCATCAGCCTATAGTATGTGTCTGCAGCCATGAAAATGGGATCTGACTGCTCAAAGGGTTTACATATACTGGAGAAGGGGCCACATACAGAATCTCAGAGACAACCATGAAAAAAAACCCTGATAACAATTTGTTTTTTAATGGTCAGAAATAGGATTGTAACTGAAAATGTATATTTAAAAAGCCATAGAATGGCTGGACATGGTGGTTCATGCCTGTAATCCCAGCACTTTAGGAGACTGAAGCGTGAAAATCCCTTGAGCCCAGAAGTTCAAGATGAGCCTGGGCAATGTGGTGAAACTCTGTCTGTACAAAAAAATACAAAAATTAGCCAGGTGTGGTGGTGGGCACCTGTAGTGCTACTCAGGAGGCTGAGGTAGGAGGATTGCTTAAGCCTGGGAGGTAGAGGTTACAGTGAGTTGTGATTGCACCACTGCACACCAACCTGGGCAACAGAGCAAGGCCCTGTATCAAAAAAACAAAAACAAAAACAAACTATAGAATGAGTTGCAAAAAACTGGTAAACTTCTTGAAGGCAATGTGATTTGAATGTAGAAATCTAATGCACTCTTCCTAGTTCAAAACAGAAATGCTCAAATGTCTACGACCATTAAAAAAATCTTAAATAGCACTGGAAATCCATATTTCCTATCTTTTCAGGATTTTCTACCAGAGACTGGGTGAGAACAAAGAAATTATCCAATAGCTAGTTCACAATGTTTCTAAGAATTTGTTTCTAGGTTCTAAAAGGAACCTATGAGCATGAACATCCACTAACACTAAGAGTTCAGAGAAAGCTGTGGTACTGATGGGAGCTCCTCTCCTGAAACCTTTTACTGCTAAAAATCGTGACATTTGAAATAAACATGTTCAAGAAGCAAAAGGTGAAGTGTCATAGGAAAAAACTCCTGAAATCCAGGGCTTTTTTGAACATTTCCCCTCACCTGGGATGAAGATCCAAATAAGCTTGGATAAAGCACTTGGTGAGGAAGTGGGATTGAGGAGAAAGCATGATGTGGGTATCTGGCCCTGGTATAATAGTTTCACCAATTATAGGGAAGGACATGAGCACATAAGATGTATTCTTGCTGGGACTACCTCAGCTGCAGATTTTCTCCTCAGGAAGTTGTATTTTCTTTTTTTTGAGATGGAGTCTTGGTTTGTAGCCTAGGCTGGAGTGCAGTGGTACGATCTCAGCTCACTGCAACCTTTGTCTCCCAGGTCCCCGGTTCAGGCAATTCTCCTGCCTCAGCCTTCCGAGTAGCTGGGATTACAGGCACGCACCACCATGCCCAGCTAATTTTTTATATTTTTAGTAGAGACGGGGTTTCACCACGTTGACCAGGATGGTCTCGATCTCTTGACCTTGTGATCCACCCGTCTCAGCCTCCCAAAGTGCTGGGATTATAGCTGTGAGCCACTGCGCCCAGCCTACAAGAAAATCCTAATTGCCCCTAGCTCAAGAGTGAGAGAATCACAAAATAAATCATTAAAATACATTTGAAGAAAATACTTGAGCAAAAGAATGTAGTAAATGCAAAAACAAACAATTTAAAGTGAGAAATTTAGAACTTATATGCATAAATCTCCATATTTAAAAGCTGGAGCTAGGTACAGTGGCTCACGCCTATAATTCAAAGCACTTTGGGAAGCTGATGTGGGAGAAACGCTTGAGGCCAGTTCAAGGCCAGTCTGGGCAACACAGCAAAACCCCATCTCTACCAAAAAAAAAAAAAAAACGCCATGTATGGTGTGTGTGGCTATAGTCCCAGCTACCTGGGAGGCTGAGGCTGGAAGACTGCTTAAGCCTGGGAATTTGTGGTTGCAGTGAGCCATGATCTCATCACTGCACTCTAGCAGCCTGGGCAATAGCAAGACCCTGTCTCTTAAAAGAAAAAAAAGTGATACTTTAAGAATAATGAATTAGGCAAATGTTTAAAA